GCTAGTGTCTAAAAATATCCCTGGATTGGAAAAGAGGAATTGCATGGTGGTGCAGTTGGTGTGCCAGAGGGATGGGATGCCATCCAGAGGGGCCTCAACAAGCTGGAGAATTGGGCCCAGGTGAACTTTGTGAGAACAGTAGATTTAGGTTGGACATTAGGAAAAAAATCTTTAATATGAGGGTGATGGATCACTGGAACAGGTTGTCTAGAGAAGTGGTGGGGGCCCCATCGCTAGAGACGTTCAAGGTCAGGCTTGATGGGGCTCTGAGCAATGTGCTCTAGTGTGAGATGGGGGGTTGGGCTGGATGACCTCTAGAGGTCCCTTCCAACCCAAGACATTCTATGATTCTGTGAATCACAGCATTTTGAGGGCAGGCATAAGTGAGCTCTTAGCTGGAAACCATGCAGTCACAGTTAGTGCAACATCAGGATAATACTGCACTAACAAGCTTGCAATATGTAGGACTGTCATTATAGAAAGCAGAAAAAAATATAAAAAGGAGAAGCCACATCTGTCAACTTGAAAATGTCTTGTAAACATGATCTCAGGTGAAAGATGCTGTTTTCAAACATAGATGTAAGAAGGTACCTTCATCTGTAAGCCATTAAATCATAGAGATATTAATGTCAGAATTACTGATTATCAATGAGATCCAAGGTTATAGGATATTATATATATATATTCCTATATTATTATATATTATAATAATAATAACAATAAAAATAATTCCTATATTATATATATATTCCTATATTATTATATAGGATATTATATATATATTACTATATTATTATTTAGGATATTATATATATATTATAGGATCCAGGATATTGCTGCCATAAATGTCATCCTGGATCAGTCTCAGGTAACTAACTGCAAAGCAGATCTGGGGGCTTCCTGACTAAGACTCTTCTGGATTCTGAAGTTTGAGAGTCCTTATGCAGATTTTAAATAATAAACGTATTTTGGGGAAGAAAGGGTCATTGATAAGCTTCCAATTTTAGCAGTCTCATTTCCTTTAGTTTCCTCAGTTGCTAGTTCCCAAGGCAGCCTTTGCAAGGAGACTGCTTCTCAAGGTGCAAGATAGACTGCTTCTCAACTAAGAGATCTTCTCTTTTCTAGGCCATCCATGTTGGAAGAGGCCCCTGGGCACGATAGTCTGGTTCTAGAATGGGAAGCTTGTAGAGACAGCAGTTTGGTTCCCTCTGGTTCAAAGCCCATTCATCCATGTGCATATTTGTATAGTTGCTGCCAAGTACTCAAGACATCCTCGTGGATTTAGCAAACTAATTAAAGTTGCAAGTATTATGTACCTAAAAATAGCTACAGCACAACTTGGAACACAGCTTGGAACACCCAAAGAAGTTTGTGCAGGAGGGTGGATAGGGACAGTGCAAGCCAAGGATAGCTCAGCTAACACTAACCCTTCCTGAATATGGCCATGGGATGTTTTTAATGTTTCTCAACTCCCAGAGACATGGGGAAAGATTTGACCTCTGTTTAGCATCTCATCCAAAAAGCAGTAAGTAGTTCTGACAGTGCAAATCTCCCTGAGTGCTGTGTGTAAACTTCAGACTTGGACTTGAGCCCAGCCTTAGTGTTGCAGTGAAACTCAATTCTTCTAAGGCCTAGAATGATTTCAGATGAACCGTACATCTGGCAGTTAGGGTCTGCAAGAATTGGAGTTACTGAAAAACAAATTAATCCTAAAGTTACTGATGGGGAGAATGAAAGGAGGAACAATTTAAATTATTTGCTGCTACCAGGATATGCAAACCTGTTCAGGGAACAAGAGAAGGTTTCATTTGTTAATCTGGTTACTCTGACACTTCCTAAGAGCTTTATATTAGAAGAAAAAGAGTAAGAGGCTTGTTCTATGAATAACTCATGTATCAGAGGGTGGGACAATGTGATCAGCTTTAGGAAGTTTGACATTATTATTCATTACATATGCCTGAAGGCCTCAATCAACACTCCAGCGTTCTGGTGCTGAGCCAACAAGTGCAAACACAGCCCCTGCCCTCCAGCTATTGCAGGCTGGGATTATGGCAGGAAATCAAGGGGAGACTCAGTGAGAGGTGTGAGGCAGCAAGATGCTGGTATAACGAGCACATTTGCATATATACCATCAGCAGTCACAGCCAGCTTCCTCCCTAGGTGCTGCCACGCAGCAGAGCTTTGTAGGATTCGTGACATAGGTAAAGCTACAGAGAGGGTTTGATGGAAGATAAGATGGTACCTTGCAGGGAGATTTTTACCATGATTTAGAGGGCAGGCTGTGAGAAAGCATAAAAGTGTCTGCAGGAGAAGTGTGACAGAATCTGTTATCTTTAGTGAGGAAAGAAAGTTTTCTTCTGTGACAGAGTATTAGATTTAAGAACCAAGGAGAGACCAAGTGAAGAGGCTTAGAGGTTAAGGCTTGAGCTTTTCTTCCAATCCCACAGAAACATTTCTAGTGTCAAAACATGTGCTATCAAGATGAAAGATTGAAATCTCAGAAACAGTGCTTCAATGCTATTTAGCTAGTGGGGATCTTGAAAAAAAATAGTCCATTGTGTTTGACTTCATTATAAAAGGAAAATAAAAGGAAACTATAAATTCTCTCTGCTTACCTCATGGATGATCCCGGTGGGCAGGTGGGGAGTCAGGATGTTCCAGCTTTCACTTAAATGTCACTTTTCGTGCTTAGCCCGAGGTGCTGTGTGACCACCAGTGCAACTTGGGGGACACCAGTGAAATTGCCACTAAGGGCTGTGGTACAGGTGCTGGGTAGTCCCAGTTCTAGTCTGTACTTCAGTTTTGGGGTGCTCTAGGGCTAGTGTCTGTACCACCCATACTTCATACATGAGATAAATAAGAGTAAAAAAGATTTGATGTGAGCTGTAGCATTCTGGTGTGATGTGCCCCAATACCCTTAAGATAAGCGCTGCTTCAGCTCTGCAATTCCATGAACTGAATATGAAGTATATTTTTACTGTTAAACTCATGCTTAAAAAGGAAATCATTTTAAGCAGAAAGTCAGCTATTATCAATTTGAAAATAATAATAAAAAAAATTAAGACCACTTTTCAAATGGAAGTATTCTAAAATGGGGTCTCTACCTTCTTGTGGAAAGTCTCCTCCTTGATGAACTGATATTATCCAGTTGAGAAAATACTTGCTTCAGTGAAGAGAAAAGCTTGTGCTTAACACAGTATAGAGTGGGGATAAGTGAATAAGGAGGAAATCTGGTTAAAATGCTAAAAAGGAAATTATTCCTTGCAGGACAAGTAGATTTAGGACAAGGCTAAAGAAGGGAGGTCACAGTAGCTGGTATGAGGTGTGTAGAGCAAGGAATTTGGCAGCTGAGAATGGCAGAAACAGATTTTTAAAGTTGTATTTAATGGAGTCAGAGGCTCATTGCATGGGTCTAGAAGAATGAATCAGTGATAAAACCGAAGATACCAGGGCTGGCTGCTTGGTGCTACTGTTGTGATAGAGAAAGGACAGGATTTGGGAGAAGAGGGTAAGATTTACTGGGAATGATCAAGAAAAGGCATATAAGTTGATACGTGTGTATGCATATATATCTGAGTATCTATGTTATTTATCAGGAAGAGAGGCCAAGGTGTGAGAATAGATGGCTGAGAATGATAGTAAAATTCTGCTTTTGTAATTTGTGTATTGGCAGATACTTAATCAGACCAAATCTCTGCAAGAAATGCTAAATCTTGTTTGCCCAAAGAACAGGTTCTAAAAATTATTTTCCCCTTCTTTCTGTATTTGTGATATATAAAGATGGCAGTGCTGAAATTCATCCCCTCTTGACTCTGCTTGTGGATGCTACAGCTTTGTAGTTACACACTGAATAACCTGAAATTTTAGCATCTTACTTAAAAAGTTGAATGAATGGGAGCAAACCATTCCCCTAGGACTGTACAGGAAAGATAGGTTAGAGAGCAAGCTGAAAAGAAAAATGTTAGCCAGCAATTTAGTCATAATGCTGAGATGGACTTTCTGCTCATGGGAAAAAAAAAGAAAAGCTTGTGTGGCTGACCTTCCTGGCCACCGAGTGCCCCCAGCTTCCAGCAGGAAAGCCATTTAAGATCAAGTCCCTGTTGAACTGGCTGAAAGCAAGCACAGAGCTTGGCCCCTTTGAAGTTCTGTGCATGCTCCTCAGTTCTGCACTTGCCCTCAGCTGGGGTCATTCTCCCTGGGACAGGAACTGCTGGTGTCTAATTTGTGATGGGAAGTGTGTTTCGGGGGGAGATGTGGTGCCTGAACTTTGCTTTGACAAAAGCACTTCTATAATCTGTGGTCCATTGTTGCTCTATTGCATCCAGCACAAGTGTCGTCGGTGTTTCTGGAGTTCAGCTCAGGGGGCATTGAAAGGGGAACAGAGGTGCAGGCTGGAAAAAGAGTGTGACTCTGAGTTTGGACTCAAGTTCCAGAGTGTTAAGTACTTGCATTCCTGCAGCTGCTCCTGGCAGCCCTGAGAGTGGGATCACAGAAACACCCAGGAAAGCAGGCACGGGTGATTACAACCTCTGTAACTCTGTTCGAATGGCAGACTGTGGGCTGAACAGTTCCTGCATTCACCAAAGTCTCAGATGCTACATGTCCTGCAGTTTCTGAGTGCAATCCCATGTTTTTTCCTGGTTTCCCATAAAGCAGGTGTAATTTGTCATGGTTATTTTCGGGCACTAGGGAGGCAGGTTGCTTAAATCAGGCACCACATCCAGCTGAGCAGACTTCAGGAGAACCATTCAGCAGTCTTAAGGAGAGAAGGATCAAATGGCCAGGCTTTAAAAGCCTTACCTGGAGCAGGTAAGTCACAGCTGGAACTCACATGTCAAAGCAGAAACATCCTTCCCCAGATCAGGGAGACGCAGCCTGTTCCTCTTTAAATCTGTGCTGTGTGCTGCAGTGCTCTGCATTGTTGCCATGGCAGAAATCTCCCCATAGTAATAACCTCTTTCAGAGAAGGTTAAGAAGAGACAGTGCACATGCTCAGAAATGCTGCACTTGTTCTGTTGGCAGTTTGCAGCGGCCATTTCAAAGAGACCATCACAAAGACGAGCGAGAAATCAGGTACTGATATTTCATTCCTTTGTTAGCGGGAGTGACTTTTCTCTTTCACAGAAGCCCATGCACAGATATGTCTCCATTCCTGGTTGCACTGCAGAGAGGCATCACCCTTGGAGCCTGTCACAATTATTCCTCACAGAGAGCAATTTCCCATGGAATAACTAAGAAGCAGTAGTTACCTGTGGCCTTACAGTGCTTGCTGCACTTGGGGAGCAATTATTTTCCGGCAGGGCTAATATACAAAGCTGAGCTGATGCTGGGGTGGGTGATGTGTAAGGTGTCCTGAAAAAGTTTGAAAGCCTGTCTGCTTTGTTCTGCTGA